CAGTGGAGTCTCTCTGATTGGTTGACGCTGCGCGTCGAGCTGCAAAAGTTCAGATTTCCCAACTTCAGCGATTTGGACGATTTGCTCAGATCGTCCAAATCGTTCAAATCGCGCTGCTCTAATCGCGCTTGAGGCGCCGCAGAACTTCCCGACGTTGCTTGAAGCGCCTCCACCATAGACTTTGCATGTAAACCTGCTGCTCCTGACGCTGAAATCGCGTTTGGTGTGAACGCACCATAAGTGGGACTAGTGGAAAAGGGGCATAGGACTGCCCTAATGGCCTGGATAAGACGTCAACACTCAATCTGCTGGAGGTAGATGACTGACTGTAGACAGGCATGGGAACTGATTAACTGCCCAAATTTTAGGTTTTGGAAAGCTCTCATCACCCTCACAAGGAAAACTCTAAGTACACTGGTTGGAGTCCTAACTGGGCACGATCTGATCAACTGCCACAAAATGGTGATGGGACTCCATGGCAATGGTCTGTGTGAGGTCTTTGGCATTAAATTAGAGATCTCTTTGTACTACTTAGGCCACTGTCTGGCTCTTACAAGGCCATAACTCATATGGGTTCTTTATCCATCCCCACTCATCATAATAATAACCATACACACACGACCAATGTTTTTTTTTTTTTGTCTGAACTAATAACACTTACACTAAAGCTTAGTTTATGCTTCAACAAGACGTGAGACAACAGATTTATCTTTGTGTCAATTTGGACGTCTTTGTCTCACTGAGTGTTTATAGTCAGTAGAAGCTGTGAGACTAGATCATCGTAACTCCTCCCTCTGCTTAGCAGACGTCATGTACATTTAAGCATGTAAACAGAACTTCCTCACAGCCTCAGCGAGCGGATCCTCAAAGCTGTCCATTCTGTTACTTTAACAACCAGATGCTGGGATAAGACCATTTTCAGTGAAATGACATGCAAATTAAGCTCTTTCATGTACTTTTTGTATCTGCTCTGTGTACATTTTCACCAAAGACAACACACACCTCATCTAATAACACCCTCACTCAACACTTATCACAGTTTGGATCAAAATACAATATTTTAAAGTGACAATACAAGTTTACCTTGTCCTATCTGGCAACCCTGCCTGGCACAGAGCTACAGTGGTTTCATGTAAACATTTTTTGTATATTTTCCACAATAAACATTAGAAAAAAAACAACTAATATTTCCAGAGATCAAACAGGAAGTGGGAGATTCAATTATTTGTTTTTAAAGAAGAAAGAGAGGGAAAGGACCGAGTGCCAGACTCCTGCC